GAAAACAAGCCCCTGAGCTGTACCCAGAGTGTAACCCCTGCTTACCGGCTAGCAGAAAACTTTAGGCTAAAAGCTCCCTTGAAAACACAGAAATGTAGCTAAGTTGCCAAAAAATTGCTCTCCGGCTCCTTTCAAAACCAAGTCCCCGACATCTATGGAAGTCATTCATTGAGACCCCCACCTCGGGCTTGCCCCCCAGCTCAGTCAGCAGGTGAAGAAAAGCCACAAACATACTGCAAATTGCCGCTGCAAGATCCAAGCAGAGCCTCAGATTTGGCTGGACCTGAATACCCCACCTTGCAGGCACTTTGATTTGGAAACCCGGGGACATCTATCAATGTCCTTTGGATCCTTGTGCAAGGGAGATGGGGTCTGCAGTCTCCAGGCCTGCCTTTCTGCCCCCTCCAATGCATCGGTCCTGTCTCTCCCAACTCGTTCCCTTTCCAAATGAGAGTCCCCCTAGTTCTTATCCTCCACCCGTCGAAAGAAGGACCTCTTGTGTGCAGCTAATACTTCCTTCTCTGCAGTACAGAGATGCTCCAACCCAAGATATCACCACTGACATCTCCAGTATTCAGCTCCCCACAGCTATTCACTCCCAGAAATCAGGGGTCAGCTCCTGCTAATGTAGGGTGGTGGAACAAAGGTCTTCCCTAGGCTGGGCTAGGAAGGAGGTTGCTGGCAAAGGAAGGCATGTGAATCAGGACATAAGCAGTCCCTGGTCCCTCCTCTTGGTCCCAAATCCTTCCACCAACTCCTAGACGAATGGTCTCCAGTCTTCACTAGCCAATGGACAGCAGTACAAAGCAAGGACTGCCCTGCGGGCAGCCCTCCAACAGGTTGCTTGTAGGTCAAAGGTTGGGGCCAATGCCCTAAAAGCTCCTTTGAACATTCAAACCTGGCTGGCCTTGAAGATATAAGAGTTTGGCCAATGCTTTGCACATTAAATGTTGTTGAAAAGTCACAACATTTTCACAATTTAGCTTTAAACGTTGTGGTGTCAAGGCTGGGATGGGTCTTTGGAGATGGAGGAGGCTCAGCTAACTCCCAGGACAGAAGGGCATGTGAATGGAAAGAAGACTGGGGATGAAGTAGGGGTCAGAGGGACAAGGTGGAAATATCCACCGCCATGTGACAACAGGAGGCATTGAGACCCAGGAGTGAGGTTGCCAGTTGCCCATGCTCCACCCTTTTGGACCAAGGGCCAAGGCTGGCAGAAGGCCAAAGCCACCCTAAACCTGACAAAACCTAGCCATGTCACACAGGGCTAGCAGGTCAAGCTGCAAGGTCATCGCCCAAGCAGACACCAGAAGTAAACAGGAGCAAACACGAAGCAAGCCCAGAGCAGCAGCATGCACGATCACGGTGCTGCAACAGCAGCCTACACCTTCTGCACAAACCTCTTTTCTCCACTTTGCCAGCTCAGCTGATTCCCCTGGGGCTTGGTGCCCTACACCTATTTCCTCTACCCTCTCCAGGGGTTTAGGGACCATGTAGAGGAAGCCAGGATTGATTTCTAGACTCCTCAGGTTGGGGAGAGAGAAAAACCATGTGGAGGAAGGCTCAGGGTCTGGGCAAAGGGCATACACCAAGGCAGTGACATATGCTCCTACATCTATGGGTGGGATTTATGGAGTTATGCATGGAGATATGATCAACCCCTGGCCCGTGTGCTAGATCCAGCCCTCATTGCCATGTCGTCTGGCCCATGAGTGCAAAAAGTTGGCAGAAGGGGCTACTAAATTTCCAGATCTGTGGGGAGCTCAGGGCCTTGCATTGCTGGATCAGGCACGCCAGGGGGCATGGGGCCTGATCCCAGAGCATGTTAGGGAGGGTTGCACAGGGACCCAGGCCCCGATCCTGGCAATCAGGGACCAGCCAAGGCTGCACAGGGCTATACCAAGTGTGCAGGGACGGGTAGAGGTAGCACAGGACCCAATCCTGGCATGTGGGGCTCAATCTGCCCCACGGACCAGCCCTGACCCACTTATCTGGCTCGTGCGGCTGAAAGCTTGAGCACTGCAGGAATAGGGTGATGTCTGAATGTCTCCAGGGGACAATCTGGTTCTTATCATGGAAGCCTTTATGCATCTAGATGGGCTCACAGAGTCACTCCCATGATTCGGCTAGTGACTGAGCGTGGGTCAAAAGCTGCATGTTGGCCATCCACAAGGAGAAGCAGAATCCACCCCGTAGCTCTCCCTTTCGGGGGTCCAGAATACAAAATTCAGATTCAGACCCTAATATCTCCACAGTTCAGGGCTTTCAGACAAGTCATTACTAGTATTCCTCCTATTGCCACCATTATCTTGTCATCTGTGCGGCCCCGAATAACCCTAGGAGGTCTCTCTGATTCTCCGCCGTCTCCACAGTTATCTATTTTGATCTGTTGCTGCTTGACTCATATCCTGCACTGATAACAAAAGGCAGCACAGGGCATGGAGACTGGGTAAAGGGCAATAGATGCTGAATCTCCCACCAGTCAGATATAATTCAGTCTCACCAGAAGGTGTTTCATGTACCAAGTAGCCTGTCTATAATATAGTAAGGACAACGAGACCTGTGCTGCTAGCGGTTGCCTCTACTTCATCCCAGCATCCAGACTACAAGAACTTCATCATTACCAAAAAAAAAAGGCAACCAATAATTCCACAATAATGTATACGAG